ATTGTGGGTCATAATTAGATCTCTCAGTGGCTGTATTTTATTTTAGAAGAGAGGAGTCTTATATTGAACATTATTTTATTGAACTCTGATATTTTCCATTCCGTCCTATTTTTTATAACATTAGTTACAACCCACTAAATTGATTTTACAACTCACTAATGGGGTGCATCTCCCAGCCTGAAAAACAGTGACTTAAAGGAACTGTAATCATGACCAAGCAAAATGCAGTGTCATCTTGACTAGGCGATGGTCAGCATCTCCCACACTGTAGAGATGAGAAGCATAGGGCCTCACCCTAAATGGTTTTTTTTAAAATACATAAAAATTTATATCATTGGACTCCAAGTTTTTAATACATAGAAATTTATATAACAGGATTCCAAGTGTAATTACGAGGCAAAAGAATTCATAATGAGTTTAGTTACACAGAGGAAATATAAGTAAAAATGAGTTTGATAGACATCTAAATATTTTTTCTTAGATCACTAAACAGGCCAGGCATGGTGGCTCACACCTGTAATCCCAGCACTTTGGGAGGCCGAGGTGGGTGGATCACCTGAGGACAGGAGTTCAAGACCAGCCTGACCAACATGGCCTGTCTCCACTAAAAATACAAAAATTAGCCAGGCATGGTGGTAGGCACCTGTAATCCCAAGTACTCGGGAGGCTGAGGCCAGAGAATCACTTGAATCCAGGAGGCAGAGGTTGCAATGAGCTGAGATTGTGCCACTGCACTCCATCCTGGGCAACAAGAGCAAAACTCCATCTCAAAAAAAAAAAAAAAATCACTAAACAACAATAAAAGCCTCGTACTTAAATATTTCATTCAGTATGAAGACAAATAGCAAATGATAGCTCAAAAATTTGAACACGGTTATCTGAGCAGAAAGGATTTAGTCTAGAGGAGGGTGGGACATGGCACTGCTAGTTTTTTATTTATTATAAGCCTTAAGCATAAAAATACTATTTGATTTTCTAAATGGTATTCATGTTTTACTTTGCTAAAAAAAATTGATTTAATTTTTAAAAATCAATCCTAATTGCAATTCGGTATAGAAGAGTGGACACTCGATTGGGACCCTGAGACCTGCCATCTACATTCTCAGCCTGGGAAAGCTACTTGACTTTTTGGGACTTCACTTTCTTCTTAAATAAAATGAAGGAATAGATTCTGAAGCTTTCTTTACATACCATATTTTAGGACCCTATGACCCTAAAATATCTGATCATTTACAGATCATTTTAATGAAAGGATACAGCATTCCAAGATCATCCAAATGGTGAAAACTCACAATTTACCACACAAAAAGTTAGACCAAAGCTAGTGGTCTCACCTTCACAATAACTTAAGTAATCCCAGTGTTATCGCTTTGGGGCAGCTACTCAATTGTGTTATTTCTTCTTCCTGTCAATATGGTCCCTATCATATTTCATGAATTATAATTTTATGTATCACATTATTTTTTTCCTATTAACCATGTGCTTTTCTCAGAGTTTCTTTCTTGGTGTTTTCAATGCAGAGGCAAAATTTATTTCAATAATACCATAATTAAATCTCTTAGCAGCTGTATTTTATTTTAGAAGATATGAATTATATTCAATTTTTTTTATTGAACTGTCATTTTTATCTTAACTGTGGCTTAACCTAGTAATCTAATTATTTTTTCTAAACTTACTTTACAGCTAATAAAAGAAAGATATGAAAAATTAAATTACATAATAAAGCATGAAGCAAGTATAGCTATCATGAGACTCTCAGACTGAAAAACTAACATGAACTAATTTATACTATTGAAAAGTTGTTTTTCCCCATGTTAAAAAAAATCAATAAAAAAGAAACCTCTTTAAATGAAATAATAAATTAGGCTACTCTAATTCCCATAGATACCTTCAGATCATCATAACAGGATATCAACTTTTCAATCACAGTAGAAAGGAGTCAGAAAGGAATCAACCCTACAAAATATATCCCTAATATCTATGTTTAAGGCAATGTATAAAAGAAAAACTCCCTCTTCCTCCTCCTCTCACTTCTAAAGCATTTAGTTTTCAGCTCTAATATACTAAAAATTCTTTTTTCTTCCCTCTTTTCCTTTAGGATGTGTTCTAATTGTTTCTGTCTTCCATAAGGGCCATGTCAAAATATCAGCTCCCCAAAAAGAATAGCACTCTCTATCCAGGCACTGTGAAACACCTGCACAGATAAGTATTTGAAAAATGATTTTTATGGTGATGAAATAAAATGTATTCACAGTGGTAATTCTTTGGGGCCGTTAGGAATTCATTAAACAATACCTCAGCTCTAGAAACATCAAACCCTCTGATAAATATTTGTTAAGAGTCTCTGCAAATAGAGACACCCGTGATACAAGTTAGCAGAAACTACAAAAGTGTGTGTCTCTCTAATTCACACTCAGATTTTCCTGAGTCCTGACTAGAAGTTCTGATCTTAGCAAAGACAGCAGATAATCCTTTCTTCATGGTAGTTTGAACTCAAACAATTTTAAGTAGTTTTATGATTTACCCCTGAAGTACAGTGAACCAAGACCACCAAACTAGTTGCAGGGAGAGTTCAGTGAGTTAGAATTTTATTGCTTCAGTTGTTTAAACCAAACAGCTCTGTCAGTCTGAAATTAAAGTATTTATGCAATAACCTCTTAACTAATGTTTGTGGAGCATTTACACTACATAAAACATGGCATCGCATTAGGTATGATGGGAGACGCAGAAAGTACTAAACCTTCTCCTGCTCCCAACAGAAGAAATGTTCATCTAGCTGGTGGTGAGATGCTAACAGGAAAAAAAGCTGAACACAGTAACTTTACAGTGCAGAAACCTCCCAAACAAATACCTTAACCAAGTAGCTGAGGTTAACATTTCTAGTGAGAAGCCACGCTAATATCATGTACCCCTTGAGATAATGTGATACCTATGCGGTACTTTTCCCAAAACCCATAACTCCAAACTAATCATGAGATAACACATCACAGGAACCCATGTTGAGGCACATTCTACAAAATACCTGGCCGGTATTTGGACTGCCAAGGTCATCATGAAAAACAAAGAAAAGCTGAATTGTCACAGACCAGTGGAAACTAACGAGACATGACAACTAAAGGCAGTGTGGTGTTCTGGCCCCTGGATTAGATGCTGGAACAGAAAAAGGACAGAAATGGAAAAACAGTGGAATCCAAATAAAGTCTGGTGTTTTGGTTAATAATATTGTTCTGATTTTTTTTTAATTTGACAAATGGTGCCAGAGTGATAGGAAATGGTAACACTGGGAGAAACTGAAGTTAGGTTGGGGTCTTATAGGAATGCTCTGTACTACCTTTGCAACTTTTGTGTAAATCTAAAATTATTCCAAAGTGTAGTGTTTTTTAAGCTTATTTTTAAAAGAAATGGGAAGATATACGTCACAGGGCACAAAGTAGCTGTTATATAGTATGACTAAGTCTAGAGGTCTAAAGTACAGCATGAGGACTATAATTAATAATAAATTAAAAGATTCAAATTACATTATGTGAATTTCACCCTGATTTTTTGTGTATATGATGTGAATTTCACCCCAATTTACATTTTATACAGAGAGAGAGAGATGAATAAAAGAAGATGTCAATGAGTGACACAGGGGTACTGAAACGTCTACAGTTAGACTGCATCTTACAAAATTGCCAGCATTTGACCTTTGTCACCTGTAAAACAATATTTTCATATGATTCGACCTAACATATCTCTGTGGACTTGGGAGACGTCATGGTAAAATGGAGCTGGTGCTGAACATGAAAGGAAAGGACATAGCAAGGAGGACACATTCCAGGAGAAGGGAACAGTGTGAGCAGAGGTGAGGACGTGCACGGTGTGGTCAGAGACGGGAGAGAGACCTGCCTGTGCCAGTCCATGTCAGCAAGGAGGTGACAGAAGATACACTATCACAGCAAGGGCTTCAGGAAGGGAGGTATTTTAGGAATATGGAGATTCTGGGCTCTAGGTCTGAATACATACCAAGAGCCTGGTCTTCCCAATGGCTAGGAATGTCCCCTGGAAAGGACTACAGCCTCTAGGGACAATGACACATCAAAGTGCCTCAGTGGCCACATTTTCAGGCCCCGGGTGGATGTCTAGCATAATAGAAAGATCACCGAACTACAAAATGGCAGATCTAAGTCCTGGTTCTGGCTCTGCCACTAATGGGGTGAGAAACCCTAAACAAGTCCTCTCCTTCTGTCTGCATCTCAGATTTCTACCCTAAAGAGGAGGGGAGCTGGATAAGTCAGTCTCCAAGGCCTCTTCCAGCTCTAAAACACTAATTCTGATGAGGAATGAAATATGTTTTTTGGCTTTCAGAAGCAACATGTGGTTCACTCAAGTAGAGAGAATGACACAAGGTCCATGAAAGCAAAAACACCGAGAATAAAAGAACTGTGTTTTTATACACAGGAGTCTATTCTTTTATGATACATGTCTAGACCCCTCTAAATATTTAAACAACAATATCATACCAGTATGAAACCTCTCTAAATCAGGCTCTGTGGTTAAGGAGGATATATGAACAGATGTGATCTTATTAAGGCCCTAATGTAACTCAAAAACAATTTGTCATATCTGACGGGTATTGTTAAATTATGTCCACCTGCCAGAGGCAACCAGAGAAATTACCAACCGCCTTTACTCTACTCTTACTCAAAATTCTCTAAAAGCTCCCATAGATGTGTCCAGGACATGTATTTTTTAAAACAGTAACCTAATTGTCACCAACACATAACAGCCAATGTTTCACAATTCCTTTTCATGTATATTTTATTATGGGGCCCAACTGTTTCAACACCCTAGTGGTTCAACTTTAATGCAGCTCAGGAAACCCCCTAAGTAATATCTATCACAAAATGTTTAACATCTGTGAAACTTGGACCCAAAATGTTCCAATTTTTTCTTTGGGTTGGGGGCAGCGCTTGGGGGTGGGGTATGCCGGCCACGGTTTTCATTAACGGCAATAGTGCTGGAGCTCACAGGTATTTTAATCACTTCTCAGGCAGGAAGAACCTTTTGCGTTTACCTTCCTACATGCTCAAAATTCTTTCAAACTACCATTGCCCTGCTTGCTCAGAGTCAATTTAAACCTGAACCCATTTCCTTTCCCTTCTCTAAACATTTGTCTCTCTCCTTCTTGCATTGCAATATTTTAATTAAGTGGAACAACGAAAGAGAGTGGAGAAAAAAGAAGTGTGAAGCATGTGGTGTATTTCCCAAGCTATTTCAAAACTTCTCAGAGCGCTTTGGTCTCCAGAGGTGGTTGAAATATTCCTTATCCCACCAAGGAAAGGATGAAAAATTGATCTCCTCCAAACTTCAAATGCGCAGATTTCCTCAAATGCAGACTGTAGGAAAGAAAGGCAGGCTTAGGAGTTACCAGACCAAACGGGAAGCAGTTCTCAGAGGACTCACAGCTCATCCCAGGCAACTCCCCGGGCAGAGCATGTACGCAGAGCCGCTGGGAGAATAAACAGCAGCTCCACTTCTAAAAGAAATCAAAGCAAATCTCAGAGAAAATGAACATGGAGTCAAACGTCAGTAATTCGGATCAGCTGGGGGGAAGGTCAGGTTGGATCAGGACAAAGCCTTGATGATAAAGTTTTCTTTTTCTTCCAGAAAGTACAACTGCATTTATGTCAACATTCACCGCAACCCATTCTTCCCGCCTCCTCTCACCACCTCCCAGCTCCCTCGCTCCCTCATGGGCAGCACCTTCATCTCCACACAGACTGTAATCTTCCCCATCCTTAAGCTTCTGTTCATGATTCTCCCCTTTTGCCTGAAATACCCCACTGCCCACTGCCTACTTGGTAAACGCCTTCTCAATTTTCAAGACCCCACTCCAAATGTCACCTCCTAATCAGAATGAATAGCACTAATCGCATAATGCTCTGTACATACCAATTATATAGTAAAGCGGTTCTCACCTTGGCCAGGTGGTATTAAAATCACCTGGAGAACATTTCCATACAATCCCAATCCCTGTGCCCATCGTCAGTGATTTGATAGAATTGGTCTGGGGTACTCCTTTTACAAGTTCCCTGAGTGATCTCAGTGTGCAGGCTGGGCTTTAACTCTGAGTATAGAACTTATCACACTGTTCAGAATGATTCACCATACCTGTACCCCAAGAGCAGAGGGCCCTTGGGGAAGTCTTGCCATAGGCAGGGATGGAGGACATGAGTCCTTCCAGAGGCTTCTGTAAGTAGGAGGAACTTCATATGATTTCAACATGTGGCTTCCCCATGTGGTTTATCATGAGCATGCATGTATTTTTCATAGTGTACCTCCCATACTTCCCTACAGCACGCCTATTCATGCCTGTTGGGGGAGGATCCACCACCACAGCTCAACCTGACTTTCCATTATTTCCGCACACAGGCTCTTGGCCAACTGGGTGGCCTTGCCCCTTTTTCTCCATCTTGTTGAATTGTATGCCTTGTTCAAGGCCCGCTGACCATTTTGTCTCTTGAAGCCTTCCTTTGCCCACTTCAACTCACAAGGGTTTACTTTCCCACTCAATTTCCACTTACTTTAGCCCCTGTCCTCAGATGCCTTGACTGGCTGACAATCTCATGATATGTGTATGAAAAACCTTGTCATGGAGAGAGCAAGGAATGTGCATCTTACAGAGATTTTTACTTCCTGCCTATAATGCAAGTGCCTTAGTCAGTCCGGGCTGCTATGACAAAGCACCATAAACTGGTGGCTCACAAACAACAGAAATGTACTTCGCATTCGGTCCTCATAGCATTCTCAAGGATTCCTCTTAGAAGGGCACTAATCCCATCATGAGCTCCATCCTCATGACCTAATCACCTCCCAAAGGCCCCACCTCCTAAAACCATCACACTGGTGCTTAGGAGCTCAACACAGGAATTTGGGGGACATAAACAAAGAGTCCATAACAGGAAAGTTGGCTGTGCAGCAGGTACTCTACTTGTATTTGTTGATGGAACCCACCCAGAGTTGGCCCTCTTCTTCCCAGGCCAGGTTGGGGGACATCAAAAGAAGATAAAGATTAAGATAAGGATTAAGGATTTTGTGCTCCAAAAAGTCCACAGCGTAAACATCACAACAAATACCCTTGTGGTAGACGAAATTCTAAGATGACCCCATAAACCTTGCTCCCTGATCCTACTTCCATGTTTACGTATGTTTCATGCCAAAAGGGATTCTGCAGATGAAGGTTACCAATCGTGGTAGCCTTAAGATATGGAGCTTATCCGGGTGAGTATAACCTAATCGTGTGAGCCCTTTTTTAAAAGCAGAGGTTTTCTCTGGCTAGTAGCAGAAGGGTATGTCAGAGAGCTCAGAAAGGTAAGGAGGAGTCAACATGAGAGAGAGGCCCCATTCCTCACTTGAGATGGAGGCGGGCATGTGGTCTGAGAATGCGCCCTGGCCAACAGCCAGCAAAGAAACAGGGACCTCAGTCCTACAGCCAAAGGAAATGCATTCTGCTGACAGCATGACCGAGCTTGGAAGCGGGTTCTTCCCAGAGCCTCCAGAAGAAGATACACCAGGGATGACACCCTGATTCCCACCTGTACTGTTTGCTATCTGTTTCCTGTCTGTCTGATACGCTGTACCAAGCAGGCTTGCTGGGTCTCCCAGCCTACAGCTAGTAAACAATGTTGTTTCATGCCGCTAAGCTTGTGGTAGTCTGTTACAGAGCAATCCCCAACCATCCCCACCCCTCAAACTGCCACGTAAGAGAAGTTCCTCTTGTGACTTAATAAACATGCCTTAATATATGCTTGTCCTCATTAATATGTTATCTGCATATATACATATATACATATATGTGAATGACAGGCTTCTAAAAGAGTAAAAAGTACAATATCAATGCAACATACTGTTTCTATGCCTCTCAAAGTATCATAATGGCTCCCAAATTGAATGCTATTCATGCTAGAGGTCATTTATGAATTATTAGAAATTGAATCACAAATCAGATCCTCTGTCTCAAGTTCTATTTACTAAGCACCACTGTTTGCCAAGTCTGCTGCTGATCAACAGACATTAGGGTTCTCCTGATATCTGAAGAATGCACAGCCAGCCACATGGTACAGTTTCCACCACTCTATGTAGAGATAAGAAGGCCTGAGTGCTCATGACAATTTCTTAGGAAGCCAATGACCCTAGCCCATGTTGCCTGAAGACGGGGAAGAGGCAGGTGGTCACAGAGGGGCCCTGGGTAAAGCATTATCTACATCCACTTAACTGGCATCTCCCTAAATCCACACACCACATAAGGCACATAAGAAGTCAACCTCAATTGCCTGAGACTGAGAGCCACAACCACCCAGCCCCACCAGCCTGTGATGACCAGTGATGCTGCAGTGATGACCAGTGATGTGTTCCCAGCAGCCATTCCTCAACCCTGGAGAGACATCACCTGCCAGGCCGCCGCCCCTCAGCCACAGGCTTCCGTCTGTCTGCGTCAGCATTTGTCTGAAGATCGCACCTCGATCATCTACAGGGGAAATTGATGTCGATGTCGACAGCATGAGAGAGGAATGTAACTACAGCCTATTCTAAAAGCACACATTTATTTTATTTTATTTCAGAAATGTATGCATTATGTATGGCTGTACATAAACGTTTTTATAGAGCCTCTTAAGTGATTTACCATGAGGTATGTTTGATTATAATCTCTGCTTATTTAAGAGAGCCTTATTTACCCCCATGGTATTTAATACATTGAGACATGTTTCAACGAACAGTGACACCAGTAAACAAAAGTTACTGATCTACCTCATGAGTTATAAAACTTGTAACATGCTGTAAACAGCTCTGTCATTTTATTTCGCATATTGCATTGTGTGCGCTGCCTTATTTATCTTGTGGTAAATCTTTATGTATCAAAAATGCTACAGAAGGCACAACAGATAAATTACCGACAGACACTAACATCTGACTAGTTAATCAAACAAATAGGACATGTAACAAAGAGAAAAGCTATAAATATTGACAACAAGCTGCTTCAGTCACAAAAACATTCAATACTTCAGTTCTCAAGTGTGAGTTTTATATCAGTCCCCTGGAAACAGTTTGTATCCTCCAATAAATTTTTACAGTTGATTCACCTGCCTGATACCCCTCAGCCATTTCCTTCAGAAGCTGTCAAACCCGCCAACGATAATATATGGCCCGACCAACAAGAACAGCTGTAGCCATTCTCTTCGCAGGTTCTTGTACCCTGTTCTGCATAAAATAATACATCAAGATTAATTGATTTCCCGTCAGTCTCACAGAACAGAAAATTAATTTTCATGTAGCTATTTTCCCCAGCATATGAATTTTGTACATGGCAAGTAATTTAAGTTTTTAATTATTCATGAGCAAGGAGGGGGGTGGGGAGAAACATGATAAAGTAAGCTTGCAAAAACCCCAAGGCCAATCTCTGGGCCTGGGTTTGTGCTAAGGCAACAGTAGCATTCCGCTAATGCCCATATAAATAATGTATGTATTAACATACATCTTAGTACAACACCAATTTCTCTCACTCTGACCCGAGACTACCAGGTCACCCCGCGGTACTTTGTCAAAGTCGCCGCGCTGGCTACATGTGACATGCTGTGGGAAAACACAGAACATGTCAGCCATATTGAGGTGACCTCCGCCCGCCTGTCTCGGCGGCCACACAGCCCAGGCCTGATAGGAGGTAATTTAACGGTCAGTGTGTGAGTGGGACCGAGGAAAAGTTGCTAATCAGCCAGGTGCTACCTCAGCAAGTCTTCCATTTGCAGGTGCCACTGACTTGTGAACGAGAAAAATGTAACCAGAAAATAGAAAGAGAGCGTTTGACTCACTCCAGCCCCATCCTTCACAGACTCTCTGCAGACCAGCTTGAGAAAAACCGTCTCCTCAGGAAGGGAAAAACCACAACGTGAGCACCTCTGGCAATCAAGCGTATTTGCTAAAACGCAGACAAAAATGCTCCCACAGTGCCTCCTTAGAAATGTCATGGGCATACTTCATATAAACTGCAAGACAGGCAAACGTGGGGCGCTTGCCTCGGGTCGTGGAACTCAACTTAACCCCATTAGGACCAAAACTGAACTTAGCATCGCACACCACACTCTTGGGCACCGAGGAATCAGCCACCCGAGTCAAGGCGTTTTGGTCATTGATTATTTATCAGTGACGTCTTCTGCCCTGAATGTTAAGATTTCGTGCAAAATTGGGAGATCACTATTCCCAGTTACACAATCTGACTATACCATTACCGGTTAAGAATCAGAGAAGGAATCTGATCAAATTACCAAACTTACATGGGACAAGTAGACTCCAATAGTGAGTCGGGGAAAGGAGAGGCCTCTATCGAACCAAAGAGTGGCAGAGAGAGAAAGTGACGGAATTCCTCTGAAAGGAGAGGCTGGCTTGGATGGCCTGAAGCTGTAGCTCATTTGGGGCCAGCGCCAGCCCCATCATGACCCCACCAGCAGGGGGAGCACCTTGGTAAGGGGAGGAGACAGGGAGAAGTTCAAAAACCAACATGAAAGAAACTCAAAATTACTTTAAGGAAAAAAAAAAAAAGAAAGAATTTTACCCCAGGGGGTTAGGAGGCAGGGACACTTGGATGGGGAAGGGGCTGCGTTTGATGAATCTGATGAAATATTAATAAGGACACAAAAGTGGAAGTTTCTATGAGCGTCGTTTCTTAATAGCTTGTAAAAATGGCCACTCTAACCAAAACCAGAGAGAAATCAGGAAATTGCTTCTCTCCTTAGAGTTCGCCATGCCTCACCCCGGAGGCTGGAGCAAAACTGTGCTTCCAGTGTTTCCATCATAAAACCTGTTTCTCAGTAACCAGTGAAACCTGTAAAAACTCACTTCACCCAGAAATTTGGCACCACGGTGAGGACTATAGGTTCTCTTAAGACTGTTCCAGAACAGCGCTTCAGGATTATATTTCTGTTACCATGATGGCTCGAGACTAAGGGGCAACAGGATACATCATGTCAAGCAGCTAATTATTAACACTGAAGAACAGCTAGCCAACTTAGCCTGAGTGAAGATTAAAAGGGGGAGGCATGCTCAATTGTTTCATGTGGTATATTTGTGAAGGGAGAGTCAATGAGGTTTGCTTAAGTCTTTGTATCTCTGGTTCTAAAAACAAAACAGGATGAGGAAATTAACTACAGCACTGATACCCCAACAACAAAGGCATTGCTCAACTGCTACCAAACAAACCCAGATCAGGGTGCTGCAACCTGCCCCCACGCCAGGAAACATGCCCAGGCCCTCCCAGACTCCTGCAGATACCCACGGCCACATTCCTGGGATGGCCCAAAGCTCCTGCCACAGTAATGGGGTGAAACCACAAGGCTCAGGGAATGCCAGGGAAAATTTCAGCTAATCATTTCTCATTGCTGAGCACATGTGATGCACTCCTTACTTTGCTGAGAGAGTTTTGCCATCCTGGTTGATTAGAAAGGGTTGACAAAGCAAAGCACCAGAGAAGAGTTTATCCCCTGAGGACTCTGTGGGTTTGGTTTGCTTCTGACTGGTGACAGAGCTTTAAGAAAGCAATTTAGGGAGCTGATCCAAGGCATCAACACTGGCAATCAGGTGGTATTTGAGGCATGTGTGTGTGTGTGTACAAAGGAAGGGAGACAACATGGGGTTAGAGGAAAACCTGAAGCATTCAGAATGGCCCTAACCTTCAAATCAGCCACGTTCCCCATCGCAGCCCTGCCTTCCCCACCCTACTCAATAGCTAGAGAGCTGGCAGTTGGCATCTGCATGGCAACAAAGGTACATTTGCTTTATACCTGTTTGTAGTTTTTCTTAATCTGATATTAGAGGGGGGAGGTTTGCTTTATCTTGTTTGGAAAATAATCCTATCAAGAACATAAATGAACTCATTATGCACACCATAAAAATACATATATATATATAGATGTGCTGGCAATTCTGTAACTAAAATGTAAAAAACTTCTTGAAGCCGACGCTGCTGCTGGCATAGCTTAAAGGTCTTTGTTTCTGTAAATTCAATTGAGTGTTTCTATTTCTAAGTCTGGCAAGAGGTTCTAATTATTGTTAGAAGCCTAATTAGCATTTAGTATTACATTACAACAACTGCAGCAAAATTGTACCCATTCTCCAATAAACAGTATTCACAGTATGCAATCAAGCCTCTGCACCGAGCAATGAGAATTAATAGCACCGCACGACAATGGTAAATCCTCCATCTCCCGCTGTGTGTGTTTAATAATTTTTCACTCCTTCCAGATTGTTCCCATCAAGCACAATTCCCAAGGTCCTAATCAACCACCCTCCCCATCAATACTACACAGAGATCTGAGCACTGAAAATTATCTGCAATTTCAAAAAGTGCTTTGTTGCATTATTAGGCCACTGACCTAAGAGGTAATGGGTAAATAGTTTCTGAAAAATGTCCAAAGCACAACATAAATTAAAGCTTATAGTCTTGCCTGCTGTTCTCACCATAGCTATAACTGCAAACTATTACAGTTTTTACACAATATTCCTAACTATAATTTTACACCATAATATTGGTGCAAAGCGCCAAATGTTCTGCTTTCATGAGCCTTCATTTACTAAATGAGGAGAGTTTGGGAAAGAAGCGGATGTAGCCCGTCCTTCAGAATTTCTTCTGGCCCCATCCTCCTCCCACTGTCATACCCTTTTGCCCAGCTCCCACCCCCACCTCAAAAAAAAGTTCATAATTAAAGTGTGGGCATCTTATGGTGGACGGATATTTAAAAAAATTATAAGTAATGGTGTATGTCTGGCTCTCTGTGTCTCACACATGATCTGTAGGTAAAATGAGTTAGGATACGCTGCTTCCGAGGTAACTCGAATGGACTTGTAAATATCTTGCTGAGAGGGTAGCTGATAGCGGCTTCCGTTGTCTGCTGACTGGTGATGACTGTAACAGTGTCACACAAACCGAAGGCTTAAGTAGGAACACCTTGTTTCAACAATCTGACACGTGTACTCTGGGCTAGTGAAGAGAAGTTTTGTCCACGGAAAACAGAATCCATAGCCTCAAATCACCACAGAACACAGAAGCAAGGTGCCTCTAGTGTGGCTAGGTAGAAGGCAGTGCACAGCACAACACAGCAGTTCCCACCGAGAATATTCCTCAGTACTAATCCAGGAGTTTAGGCTGAATGTGGTGTTTTTGTTGCTGATTGTTTGTTTGTTTTTCATGGGAGCAAAAATAAAAAGAATTTCTGACGACTCCACTCAACCTAACCAAGTAAACATGTAAGGACCTTCCCTGAGCAAAGCTAGCGGCTGGATTATGCTGTGGTCTGCCATGCTTCACCAACAAAAACACTTTTCATTTTGCCATAATACATCAACATCTCCCAAAACAAAAGACTTTCATAACATTGGTAGATTAATGCCATTAATTTCTCAGGACTGACTTTCTGAATAATATACTAAGTTTTTCCAGCGTCATTATAATACCCTACTGCACTCTTCAGTCATACGGGTCACTTATTAATCCACTCAATAAATGTTTATTGAGTGCCTACTACTGTTGCAGGTACTTGGGATACACTGGTAAACACGGAGGACAACGATCCCTACTCTTGTGGGCATGTATTTCAGTGTGAGGTAGGCAGACAACCTACAATCACCCTCCTGAATAAGTAAATTAGAGTGAATGCTGAAAGGCAATGGTGGTAAGGGGTAGTGGCATGGGAAGGAGAAAACGCAGAGCAGCATGAGAGGATCAGGAGCATCACAGAAGGACGCCCTGCAGTGTTAAATCAAGCGACCAGGGTAGGCCTCCATAAGAATGCGGAATCTGAGCAAAGAACTGAAAACGAAAATGCTTGATACATGTCTCAAAACTCTTCAATATATTTTTCTCCCAATTCTGAGCACTCTCTCCATCCTATTTTCTGACAGCACAGCCTGCTGGGCTTGTTAGCATATACTGAGTGGACAGGACTCCCTGCAGGATGGCAGGTGCCACAGAGGGGAATCCAGGTCTGCCCTGTCCTCTGCAGCTAGCATTGTGCCTAGAAAAGAGCAGGTACTCAATAAACATTCACGGAGTAAATGAACACATGCATGAATCCATGGTAACACATGTATTTATTTTCAAAATCCCGAATAATTCCTTATATATTGATATAATTAAGAATAACAAATTCTTTGAGCTTAAAGGAAATGAAAGGTCTAGTCTATCCAGTAAGGACACTGGGACCTAGAGAGGAAGTGATACTTCCAGACTAGAGTCCAATTCTCCTGAATACCCGCATTGTGGCTTTTCACTCCTCCCCAAAGACTAAAGATGGCAGGGGATGTCAGGGGCTGACAACTTTGCTTCATCCCACCATGGTGGCCCTGGTGGTTGCTTTCTCTATGCCCATGTGTATAATTTCATTCTCTCTCTCAATAATCACTGGATATTTTCTCTCTTTTGACTCAGCTCTATTATTGTTACATTTTTTCTTATGTATCCAAGTTTATATTATCATAGCAAACCAAACATAACACTTCAAGCAAGCAGGAGAGTTAGAAGACCACAGAACACTCCAGCCCTTGGGCAGTCAGATGGCAACAGAAGAAAGAGCCTATCGATCTTGGGTTCCTCAACTAACACACAAGTCCAAAGACCATCTCTCTTCTGTCTCCCAGGCAGCAGAAACAGCTAGGTGAGCCCCAAGCAAAGGTAAGAACCTTGAAGGGAAAGGGCTTGAGAAGCCTCCTTCTCAAAGAAAATTTCTCTGTTTCCAAGTAGGCTACTACCAATAAAAGTCCTTTTCTGCACCTCCTTTAGGGCTCCTGATTCATCCTCCACTTTAGAAAGACAAATCCAATGGTATACAGAGAACTGTCATTATCTTTGGCATCTTTATCCCCCTACCCACCCCAATCCTACTTAAAGATACAAGACCGTAAAAGACATGTCTGTCTCATGAGGGGAAACTGCTTCCCTCCTCTCTGCTAACTCCCAAGGAGAGGGTTCCCATCCCCTTCCTTTCCCTTCCAGCAATGGCAGAGCAAGAAGAAGCAAACTTCAAGGTAAGAAACGAACATATGACCCTTCATTCTGCTTCCATCACAGGCCACATTATTGTCTCAATAAAAAGTCCCACCCATTTCTGTTTGCTCTGTATGGGAAGAGAAAGTCAATCTGTGGCACTCATAAAGAAAGGCCAGAGAGTTTGCTCATGAACTTAGGGCAAGGAGATAAATGGCATGTTTATAGGATGGGAACAGCTTACCTTCTGCAGACAGATAAGCATGACAAATGTGACAGTGGTAAACATGAACCATACAAACCTCTTCCCCATTCTCACCCAACCTAACTTGGTTAGGTTGGCCTTTCTTGGATGGTAAGACAGAGAAATCAATTCAGAATAATGGCAATCACAATAATGGGAGGCACCAATGATGCAGAGCTCACCATTGTGCTAAGTGCCTTCCACGCATGTTCTCTTTGAAGCTGGAAATTTGGCAGAGGCCTGGGCATGCTGTCATACTAACACATGGGACACAAGCAGTTCATCATAACACAGCCCACTGATTCATTTTCATCCACCACTGAGACATTCTTACACTGAAATTTGAGATCACTAAATTACTATGAAGAGACTGGTCTAAATCTAAGGTGATTTGGGGGCTTATAATTCAAGAAACATAGGGCTTGTCCTTAAATTGGGAGCCATGAAGCTTTAGCTTCCCAGTATGTTTCTGTATCGCCAGCAATACACTCTCAAGCCTGAACAAGGAGACTGCTTCCCTGAACCCTCCTCAACCTTTTTCAGCTCAGCTTTTTCCAATGTGCTCCTCCTCATGAATTAAGAAGCCCTGGGGGCCCAGGAGCATGCCACAGTGTGTCTTCCACCTTCCAAGTTCCGCTGTGGGTATCCAGAACTCTATCAAAAGTAAGCCATCCTACAAAACTAATATGTACAACTAATATGTACAATTCTAGTCCTGATATGGCTGTCCGTGATGAGCTGTGGACAAATAGGCAGTCTGGACATGCAGGCTGTGTTGCGACCCATCCAGACACATGTGCAATGAAGCTACTCAGCATACAAGAGAGGGCCAGGGCTGCACAGAGAAGGGGGATGGTCAAGAGACCAGGGCAGGCTCTCACCATGCTGCCACATTCCAGCTCCCCAAGGAAGTAGGGAATTCTAAATTGCAATTGAATTCCAATTCGTTAACAAAAGTATATCTGCCATGGTAAAAGAACAGAGCATATTTTATTTAGCATTTGTTAGTTTGGTTTATAAACACTCAGACATATGGTATAGAGGCTTCCATTTGTACTCTTGCCCAGGAATCTGCAAATGTTAGAGAAGAGCATGAACCTTGCCCTGGGATTCCTGCCCATGGTTTAGTCTTCCACATAAATTGATGCTTCCTTTCCAAACACAGGCATGCCTCCATGTAAGCACACCCAGACGTTAGGTATCCAGATTTATACCAAAGCCACATTTGAGAGTCGGTGCTCCATCTACTAAAGGATTCCATTATTCAGCAAATTCCCCTGATGCATTTGGTTGAACCAACTGATAAAAATTTATTACACACACACACACAAATCTCACAAATTCATCTTTTCATAGGTAATGTAGAAGTGTTAGGGGAAAAAACTTAAATGATTCTCCCTCTACTACTATTTCATTTAGCAAATGCTTAGTCACTATAAAAAAGAAATTAGAAAATGTAGATAATCCAAAGGAATAATATAAAAGCGTCTTCTATGGCACTTGGCAAAATGAGCCCTGTTAGGATTTTATGCATATACTTCAGATTTTTTCAATGTCATTATGTACATGTATAAAGACAAAGCTATAGATGGTTGATTTTATAAGAATTCTGTTATTCTATGACCATAAACAATTATTCAGGGCCACCTGTGTGCCAGGTCCTGAGAAGTCCAAGATTAGCCAGACATCATTTCTGTTGTATCAGAGCTTATGCTATAGTTGAAGAATCCAATGTGTCAATCAGCAATTACTTTGCAATATGAAACATGCCTTACGAGAAATGTATACAAAAGACTATAGAAGACTTTATGAAGAGTCCAGAGATGGGAATGACTTTTTCTTCCAGGGGAATGACGTCAAGGTTTTGCCAACACTGAATTTATAATCTCTGGGCTTCATAGTCTCATTCAACAAACATTTATTGAACATTTACTGTGGGCCAGGCACTATCTTAAGCACTGAGCATATAGTGATGAGAAAGACAAAGTTCTACCCTCGTGGAGCTTATACAGACAAATACATTTACAAATAAATAGCTAAAACAGTGTCATCCCTTTCTCTTGGCATAATGATACACAGGAAGTGCTAAAAAAAAAAAAAAAAGAGAGAGATGCATGTTGAATGAATAAAGGAACCAAAGGTATATGATGAGTTCACCTCTTTGCATTTCCATTTCAAAGGCAGGTATTGTCCTTGAAGTTACCATATCAGACAGTTGTGAGTTTTCAAAATACAACCTGATATGTCTGCTCTGTTTCACTTAAAAATATGAATCCAATAGGCTTAATCCAAAATCTCTAGCTCTGAATTGGGTTACCATGTATTGCATTTGATTTGTATTTCCACCAGGATCAACCCAAGCATCCTCATATAGACACCAGCAATGTACATGATTTATAGCAAGTCAGTCAAGGTAAAGCCTATAGCTTCCCTTCACATTTTGACATTATCAGATTACTTCAGAAGCTGGCAGCAGCTACCATAAGTAACAAGCTGTCAGTGTAAATAAATCACTCTCTCAAAAATAACTGCTAAAAAGTATAGATTAGTATGAGCAAAGGTGGGCTTAGCCTTAAAAAAATTCACCTTCCCAAGTCTCCTACGTATTTAATTTTATATAGAAAAAAGAAAATAATTCATTTTCTTTCTTTAAAAAAACAAAAGGTTCCAGGCTGAAGATCCACATAAAAAACTCAAGGTGCAATAGGAAAGTTTGTGGCTCTTGCGTATAATTCAACAATCAATTTGCAATCACCTAAAAAAAGCCTAGGGTGTGGGGAACAACTAGCAGGTTCTATGCCGAGCAACCCAGGCCAGGCCAACTTCATTTCCTTCAATGACGGAATGACAGGTAGTGTGATAAGAGAAAAGCAATAGATGCAATCCACCCAGACTGCAGCAGGCCTGTTTGTCTGGTCTCATATGATGTACTCATCAATAAGCTGGAAAATCTAACCTTAGAAGTCCTCAGAGTGCTAGAGCACCCCACCCAGAATAGGATCTCCAGTGTCTGTGCACCATCAGGGGTGGGGACAGGTAAGTCAGTCACCATACTGAAGAGGTGAATGGTGAGGTTGTGGCCATTGTGCATCTATTGATCTGTGTTGAGAGGTATTGAGATCTATGAGAACAAGAGAAAGTCAGTGCTCTACAGAGCAACTTTTCCATATCACACCACCCAAAAAGAAAAAGATACATGTCACTAAATCCAGGCATCACTAAGGATGGTCACAGTAGCTTTCAGGCAGAATATGAAAGGGAATTTTTAGTGGTGTGTTATAAAAGAATAGCACTAGAAAGCATTAAAATCAGCCAGAGGCCAGGTGTGGTGGCTCACATATGTAATCCCAACACTTTAGGAGGCTGAGGGAGTTGGGGGTGAGGGGATCCCTTGAGCCCAGGAGTTCAAGACCAGCCTGGGCCACATGAAGAGACTCCTTCTCTACAAACAAAAATTTAAAAATTAGCCACGGTGGTGTGCACATGTAGTCCCAGCTACTTGGGAGGCTAAGGTGAAAAGATTGCTTTAGCCCTGGAGTTCCAGACTGTAGTGAGCTATGATGGTGCTACTGAACTCCAGCCTTGAGTGACTAAGTGAGACTCTGTCTCTTTAAACAACAACAAAACCCAGCCAGATGCACAAGACGTTGGAATCAAGCTATCACTATTCGGTGTGGGTCAACATATAGTGTCCTGTCCTTGTTCAATCATGATTTGAAGTTAATACTGCACAGGTACATAAATTCCCTCCCACCTTAGTATTTTCATGACTTCATTTCTTTACCTGCTCTTCCCACCCCAAGAAACAAAAACTCTCTTGGTTTCAGCAGTCACATTTGAATTACTGAGGGTGATTGAGTAATTCTAGAATCTACTAGCTTATACCAAGAGTTCCCATCTCAGGATGCCCCTTGCCAGGTCTAGATATAATGGCCAAATATGCTCACATTGTCCAAAAGAAAGATCAGGAACTCCTGAGAGACAATGAAGCATGAACCTGGCGATCCAATGACAAATCTCTCTTCTTTGGGGACTAGGCCCCACTGTGCCAATGCACTAGCAAATGAACCTTCCTTTCAATTTCATTGGATAGATAGGACTACCTGGCTTTCTCTAATAAAATTTAAACACATTCACTCATTCATTAGGTAATTCAGTCAAGATTCTGCTATTTATATGCCTGAGTCTCTGCTGTCTGTTCTCCCTTCCTGGCAGCTTCCTATCTGGTGAGGCAGACAACTGCATGAGTTGTTATAAAACATAACCAATCTTACAATGTCGCAAGAGAGAGGGCTGGGGGAATGAGACTTAATGGGGAAATCAGGAAAGCCTTCCCAGAGAAGGTTTTAGCTTAAACCTGAAGGCCATGGCGGGAGGCTGATAGAGGGAGTGATATGTCCAGAGGCACAGAGGTGAGAGGGTGGGCAGGACTGAGACATGGTGAGCGGGGCTCAGCATGGCTACTGCACCATGGGGAGGGGGAGACCACCATCCTTGCCTCACATACACACAGACCCACTTATCCATCAACCTCAATTAGCCACCATCCCACTAAGTCCCTTTCTCCATACAAGCTTCAAGTCTCCCAGCCCCAGAAGCACAGCACATCCACCTGCATATTATAACACCTGACACTCACCCTTTTCTAAGATTCAGATCAAGTTCATGGTTCTTATCGCATTGCCTGCTCCCCAGTGCTCCCTCTCTTCTGAGCTATCCTAGTACCTGTATCCTGATCCACACAGTAATTCAGTCTTCTTCATTTATGAACTTCCACCATTCATTCAAGTTTCAGATGTGTCTTTTCTGCCCTTCTTGAATCCAGTGCCCACTACCTCAGTATCAGCACCTTTCATACACACATACACACACACACACACACACACACACACACACACACACACAGCCATATATCAAGCACAGAACTAAGCACATGATGATGAATGTTCAAGGACAACATTATTTTTTAATGACATATTTCATAAGATTTTATGTACAGTCCCTATTGCTTTTCAATATAATGCACTCCTCACTGTTGGTCTGGGTAATCGTTATTTGGGGGTCTCTTTTCTGCTGTAGCTAGAGATGCTGTGTGTTTAGGAGGAAGATTATGCAGTTTGGTGTCATGGAAAAAAGCACAGGCTTTGGAGTCGAACCCACATTTCTATTCCCATTTCACTGATTGCTGGCTGTGTGTCTTCTGGCAAATTTTGGAACCTCTGTAAACCTCAGTTTCCTCATCTGTGAAATTGGGATCATAGTATCCCCCAGAGGGTTATTATAAAAACTAAATGAAATAATGAATAATTCAGTGCCTGGCTTAATGTAGCCACTCAAAAAAAATATGTTCTCATTCCTTCTTTCCCTTTGTTAAGGGGAAAAAAAAAATCAAAGATGGCCAGAATGCAAATTTGTATCAAATGATTCCCCAAAATTGGATAACTCCAGGAAACAAAGCCATCTATGATGCAAACTAAAAGGTAAGACATAGCTTCTTACCAACATTAGCATTTTTAGTGGAGACAGGTATACAACAATAAAATTAAATTAGAAAGCTTCAAACCATCACTAGAAATGTCCTTTTTCAGCTCCACAAAATATAAATAGAAAAGGAATTAACTGAGGGAAACAGAAATACCCACAGATTATCATCTTCTTTGTCATGTAAAATAACTCGCTAATATCGTATCGGAAGATATTTTTTTGCATTGCCACGTTAAAGAACATGCTTACCGGTTAAAACAAGCATCCATAAAATACACACGGCGTAGGTATGTAATACACATTTAAAAAGAGAAAAGCGAGCGATAAGCATTTGCATGTCTTACTGCAAATAAAGCCTGTGACCTTTCCAAATGAAGACAAGAATATCACTCTTGTGAATTTCTAATGTGATGCCCTAACACTCATATTCCATGCAATAGATATGTTGTTTCCAACTTAAAGGCTGTTGAGGCAGCCCTCTTCACATTCCCTATTTGCCTTCCCTGGTCAGCTGAGTTCAGCTACCGAAACACACATACACACGCTCAGAGGACAGATTTGTCATGCTGACCTTTCATATCTCCTATGCTTTTTAACGGATAGAGATTCCATCCTACAGAAACAAGCACACAGCGACACCGCAGAGGAGAAAAATCAGGTGAAGGATGGCAAAGATAAATACCGGAGAAGCAAGCTAGAACCTGAATGCCGGGGACATTGTTCACAGAATTATTCAGGGGAGGAAAGCTAGCTAGCAAAAGCTAGTGAAGCAGGCAGTACACAATGCAAAATTAACCAGTGACCTTTACTGGGAACGTCAAAGGTGAAAGCAATTTGTAAGGTAGTACTTAATAGGCACCATGTGCTGGCCTCTATATGGGGTAGAACCTTTCATAATCAGACACTGAGAAAAACAGCAGAAGGAAAATTTCCTGCACATCTGAAAGTAACTCACCCTCTAAAGGAAGAAGAATCATGAGTGTATTATTGTACCCATAACTGGTTCTCCAACTTGTTGGATGTGGGCAGCGATTATGTCTCAAAAATCCTAGAACATAGCAAGCTGTAGACTTCCTAGCCATGGCCAGCTTATCTCATTAGGCTACGAGGGCTTGCATTCTGTGAAACCACACAGTTCTCCAAAGGAAGGCGAACTAGATATATTGGTCATATTTCACACACTCCAGAAATCTCTGTATCTGAGTTTTATCCACTGTATTTTCCCTCCACATGAGATGAGAGCTTCCCTCCCAGTAGGGGCCATGGCCATGAGAAATGAGTGTTTTTCCCTTTTGCCAGTAAGAAATCGTAAGACCTGGTGTAAAAACCACTCAGGCACAGCAAGTTATGGCCCAGCAGGCACACTGATTAGCTAGGTTCTTTAACTATAAAGTCAACAATAATCTACCTGCATGCCCTTTCTGCAGGTGGCTCACCTACGGATGCTAAGTAAGTCAGCAACAGTTCAGCCGAAATTACATGGGAGAGCATTATGCGTAAACATGAATGCTCTGGCTTGTCCTTAACTATACCATTGGGACTCCAGATCTGCAAAACAATCTATTACCCCCTCTCACCACCAACCCCAACTGCAACTTGCTTTCTTCTCCCTATGAATTTTCCCCACTGTAACAGTATTCCATGCTTAATGTGTCTCCCCAGTTAACAGCACCCTTCCTGTTTTCATCCATGCCTTTTACACACAGCCCATCCTTTATAACAGGGAAGAGGTGATTAACCACCCCCCGAAGCATGTAAACTTTAGGTACATTTTTCCAGTAGTGTTGACTGATCGCACTAAACTGCTTACACTCTCTTCATGGTCCCCTTGGCGATACGAGACACACATTTGGAAATCCCACTCCCCAGGGGACAGGGCCCCTAGCCATAGGGAAGGAGATGCATACGCACACATTCTTTTTCAAATTATGACCACTGATCCAACATCTCTACTCAAGGTTCTAGAAATGTTACCTAAGTTTTGCTAAAATAAAAAGGCTTTAATAATCAAGCAAAAACCCTCTCACCCAGTCAAACAAGCAGGCCAGATACAGTCCTTGGAAATGATTATTAAGATTAATGTTCTATTTATTTTTGCTATGGCTTGAATTTAGACTACGTTACACAGGAACAGCCAAAAGAATATTGCATCTCAGTTCCTAACAGGGAGGGCTAAATCCAAATCTATCGTTAAGAAAAGCCATTACCTCCCCTGAAAGCAGCAGGTGTGAGGCCTAATGGCCTGTCATAATGAAGGGTCAGTCTCTGACATTGGGACTCACCTCACTGTGTGACACAGAGTGATTTACACAACCTACTCAAAAATGGTGTAGGAAGTTTGACAATTCATAAAGTCATAAATTATAAATCAATTACCAGAGATAGATTGATTTATCCCCAGACCCATTTGCTCCCAAGGCATGAGACCTTTTAAAAGACCCCTTGACTAGAGGAGACAAAGAAGAGGCGGGGCTTGGCCCCTCAGGCCACTTCTGCTGTCCCAGCCTCTCTGGGCAACTTATCACTCTGAAGACACCATTTTGATCCAGTAGTAGCTACTGTAGGAAATAACCGGTGGATTACAGGAGTAATTTTCTTTTGAAAGAACAACAATAAAAGTGGCACTGGCCTTTGAGGAAAAGGGGACTGGATTCTCCCAGTTTCCAAAAATCTGGGTGAAAATATAAAAATCCCATTAAATATTTAGGACATTTAGCCATACAGCTTTGCATTTCTTCGCAAGCAGAAATACCTGTACAGATAACCAACGTTTTCAGGACTCATCTGCTATGGTTTATGAATAACGGCCTTCCAAAACAATCATCAAATACATTATGTCCCTAAATTTTCACAGCACAGGAGTAGCTTTTTCATTCTTTAAAGTCAATGTGCTTACTCTATATT